ACGTACTCCTCGCCTCAGGCCACTCCTCTGCCTACTCGCCACTCGCTCTCAGCTCTGCCTTCGGATGAGTCCGTAGAGTCGAGTGGTCCGTATGCAGAGCTTGTTGGCTGCCTCATGTACCTGATGACCTGCACACGACCTGACCTTGCATACCCTCTGAGCATTCTTGCACGCTATGTTGCTCCTGGGAGACACAGACCAGAGCACATGGCTGCAGCGAAGAGGGTATTGCGCTACCTGTGCAGTACGTCGGGCATGGGGCTAGTGCTTGGAGGGCGGAGTCCAGTGGTCCTTACCGGCCACGCGGACGCTTCTTGGGCTGACGACCAGGCTACGCAGCAGTCGTCACAGGGTTACACCTTCAGCCTTGGTTCCGGCTCTGTCTCGTGGCGGTCTACTCGCTCGTCTTCGGTTCTCGGCTCCAGTTGTGAGGCTGAGATCTACGCCGGGGCCATGGCTGCACAGGAGCTTCGCTGGCTCACCTACCTGCTGACTGACCTTGGAGAGCCGCCTCGTTCTCCTCCAGTGCTGTACGTAGACAACAAGGCCATGCTGGCCTTGTGTCGAGAGCAGCGCTTGGAGCACAGAACGAAGCACATTGCTCTCCGCTACTTCCTTGCTCGTGAGCTGCAGCAGCGTGGTCAGTTGCGACTTGCGTACGTGGCCTCTGAGGCCAACACTGCTGATGTGTTCACCAAGGCACTCGCGCCTTGTGACCATCAGCGCTTTTGCACCCAGCTGGGTCTTGTACCTGTCTTGCCTCACTTGCTCTCCTCTTGACTTCACTTGTACTGTGACATATATATATACCTGCTCTTGCTTGTCTAGTTTTATATATATGTCTGTACTCCTGCATGTGAACTGGCCTCTGGCCCTGCTCTTGTGCTCGGACTGTGTGGTGACTTTGTGATCCACCCTGAGCTTGCTTTGCTTTGCTTGACTGGTCTTGTGACCCCTTGTTCTCCCCCACTTTGCCTATGGGGGTGTGTCAAACATTATATATGTTATGCTTGTGTAGGCTACAGTGGGTTAGCCTATAGGGGGTACACAATTCTAGGGTTTCTTACTTGTACTCATTTTCACTGCTAGTTCATCCATTCCTGTTCGCTTATTCTCACACATAGGGCATTGTACCAGGCTACAATTGTTGGCTGAGTGTAGAATCGGTGCTAAAAAAAACGCAAGACGTTGAAGCAGTGACTAGTTGTGCCGTGGCCTACCCTCGCACTGTTTCAGGCCATCAAGCGCACAAAGGCGTGTCACTTGATGCGTTGTTGTGCGATTGATCTCAGACGCGTTCCTTTGTGATGGTAAATGATTACCGTAGGTGAATGAGTGTTGAATTGGTGGTTCTTCGTTACAACTAGACGATTAAACAAAATCATGTTGTGCCCTGACCAATCCTCGCACACGTTTAGGCCATCAGACGCACAAAGAAGCGTCACGTGCTGCGTAGATGTTGGGAATCAACACAAACGAGTTCATAGGGCATGGTACAAGGCTAGAATAACTGAATAAGTGTAGATTAGGCGTTAGACAAAAACGCGAGACGATGAAGCGGTGACAAGTTGTGCCCTGGCCTATCCTCTAACTGTTATAGGCCGGCAGACGCACAAAGGCGTGTCACGTGAGGCATAGTTGTGCGAATGACCTCAGACGAGTTCCTGTGACAAGGCAAATGACTACAATGCTTGAATGAGTAAAGAATTGGTGGTGGGAAAGACAGAGAGACGACTAAACAGTAACATGTTGCGCCCTGACCTATCCATCGCACATGTTCAGGCCATCAGACGCAAAAACACGTGTCGCGTGATGCGTAAATGTGCGAAGGAACTCAAACGAGTTCCTATAGCATGGTAGTAGGCTACAATACCTGGATGAGTGTAGAATCGGTGCAAAAAAAAAAAACGCGAGACGTTGAAGCGGTGACATCTTGTGCCCTGGCCTATCCTCGCACTGTTCCAGGCCGTCAAGCGCACAAAGGCGTGTCGCTTGATGCGTAGTTGTGCGAATGACCTCAAACGAGTTCCTAACGCAAGGTAAATAACTACAGTTTCTGAATGAGTGAAAATTGGTGCTGGAAAAAACAGCGAGATGACTGAACAGTAACATGTTGCGCCCTGACATATCCTCGCACATGTTCAGGCCATCGGACGCACAAAGAAGTGTCACGTGCTGCGTACGTGTGCGACGGAACTCGAACGAGTTCCTAGAGCATGGTAATAGGCTAGGGTACTTGCATGAGTGTACAATCGTTGCTAACATAAACGCGAGACGTTGAAGCGGTAACATGGTGTGCCCTGGCATATCATATCATTTTTTCATGACGTCAAGCGCTCAAAGGCGAGTCACTTGATGCGTTGTTGTGCGAATGAACTCAGACGAGATCCTATGACAAGGTAAATGAATACAGTACTTGATGAGTGTAGAATTGGTGGAGGTGAAACAAGCAAGACGACTAAACGGTGACATGTAGCGCCCTGACCTATCGTCGCCAGGTTCAGACCTTCAAACGCAGATTGACGCGTCACGTGTTGCGTACTTGCTTGAAAGATCTCAAACGGTAGTCCTATGGCAATGTAATTGACTACATGTCCTAAATGAGTGTAGAATTGGTGCTTGGGATATTCGCGAGACGATAAAACAGTGGCATGGTGCGGCCTGGCATGCCCTAGCAAAGTTTCAGGCCATCGAACGCACAAAGAAGCGCCACGTGCTGCGTACTGGTGCGAATGAACTCAAACAAGTTCGTACAGCAAGGTAATTGACTAGAGTACCTGAATGAGTGTGTAATTGTTGCTATGTGAAACAGCAAGACGTTGGTACGGTGAGATGTTGCGCCCTGGCCTATCATCGCACATGGTCAGACCATCAAACGCACAATGAAGGCTCACGGGCTGCGTACTCGTGCGACAGATCTCAAACGAGTTCCTTTGGTAAGCTAACTAACTGGAGTACCTACACGAGTTTTGAATGGTGCTAAAAAAACATATAGATGATGGAACGGTGACACATAACGCCCCGACCTATCCTCGCCCAGGTTCAGACCATCGAACGCACAATGAAGCGTCGCGTGTCGCGTACTTTTGAGACTAAACTCAAATCGAGTTCCTAAGGCAAGGTACTTGTATTCAGTACCTATTTTCTTGTAGAATTGTTGCTAGAAAAATCCGCGAGACAATGAAGCGGTCACATGTTGCGCCCTGGCCTATCCTCGAACTGTTTCAGTCGTCAGACGCACACAGGAGCGTCATTTGTTGCGTATTTGTGCAAATGACCTCGGACGAGTTCCTAAGACAAGGTTATTTCTTGAATAGAATGGGTGAGTGAAAGAGTGTGAGTAAAAAAACAAGCAGATACCCAATGAAATCGTGACATGTTGCGCCCTGACCTATCCATGCACAAGTTCTAGCCATCGAACGCTCAAAGAAGCGTCACTTGCTGCCTAGCTGTGCGGATGAGCGTCACTCGAGTTTCTGTGACAATGTAAATGTTTGAAATGCATGAATGTGTGAAGATTTGGTGCTAATATAATCTCCTAGATCATGAAACGATGTCATCCTTCGTACTGGCCAATCATTGCATGGTTTCTGGCCAGCGACCGCACTACCAAGCGTCACGCGTTGCGTTGCTGTGTGGATCAGCTCAAACTAGTTGCTGCGGCAATGTAACAGAAAAACTTTCCGAATGTGATTTCACTCAATGGTGCTAGAGAAGCAGCTAGACGATGAAACTGTGACAGCCCACGCCAACAGTCAACGCCATTGTTATTGCTATTTGCAGATGTCTGGCACGTTCGTGCCGCATTCCACGTGGAGCTGCGTTCACCGTCTTTGGCACCGTAGTCGTCAGATATTCCCAAACCAAATATCATCGAGAAATGTTCTGCCTGAATACCGTAAGTTTCGACTCATCAACCTATGAAGATAATGAAGTAGGGCATTGCTCTCACACTATACCAATTAACATCGGGGACTTCGTCAATAGGGGTGCTTGCTGCACCGATTTACAGTTAACATGCAGTCTTGCTGCATGTATGTTTGCTAAAGTCCTTTGCTTCGTCTTAATTAATTTGCATGTATTTTGCTACCCTTGCTGGTTCTAAAAAATGCAATTGTAACATTTTTAAAGAAATTGAGAACTGCAGAAATCCTGATCCAGCACAGGATTCCCCATTCTTTAGAGCGTCTAATCGCCCATCACGTGTATCGTGCCGCTTATTGCCAGCACAGCTCTGTTTAGGCCGACGCCGCGTCACGTTTGTGCATCCCTTGTGCCACGTTGCCACAGATATATTACATGTGCTCTCAAAAAGGACCAATCAGAGTTGTTTGCCAACAACTGCTGTCCCAGGTGAATGGTGTTTGCAAACTGACGATTGGCTGCGTTGGCACCAACGAGACCGTGCTGCGCGCACTTGGTTTATTTCTTTTTCGGGTTGAACGAGTGGCCATCTGTGCGCGCACTTTCGGGCTCATGAACGAGTGTGCGCAGAGTGACTGGCTGCGTTGCCACACACATGAACTTTACCTGGTCACTCGAATCCACGGAGCCCGCCCCGAAAATGGTCAAGTCGTTTTTTTTCGGGCACCCTGCTTAAGTCACTGAGCGCGTTCAATATATTCACGATCTGCTTTCCCTCCCACGATAAAAGGGTATTCACGGGCGCTTACCGCCCAAAAGTGGCGGAATTCCACATGGAGCAACGCGGTACTGCCGTAGGTCGGGCAGCTGCTTTAGGAGGAAAGAGAGTGGTTGGACCTGGAGATCCAAACCAGACTGGAGGGGTCACTCTGCCTTCCCCATTCTCGAACTCGGGTGAGCCAGACCTCACAGAGGATGCAGAGGAGGCCCTGCTGTTGCGCTTGCTCAAGCGTAAAGCAGCTAGGAAACAGACTGGGAGGAAGCGGAAGACGGGTTCACTGAAGAAGTTACAAAGGCAAACCGCAAACGAACCTCTTAGGACCTCGCCCCATGGCACCGCCACTGAACCCGAGCCGATGACTGAGACGGAAGCCGCTGATGCACCTGGCACCGTAACCATAGCTGGCCTGCACGGTCAACTCGTAACTTTTCCTGCAGACTCGGAAGCTTTGCGCGGTGGTTTCCATCACTCGCAAGTGGAGGAAGGCGACGATGGAGGCGTTGAGGCAGGCGGCGAGGAGGGCCATGCGGAAAGCGAGGAAGATGACGACCACGAAGGCGAGGAACAAGAGGACGGTGAAGATGCCGCAGGCGATGAGAATCAACAGCAGCCACATTTCGAGCCAGTTCTCCCTGCTGCGCACGCTGGAGCAGCAGTTGGTAACGGGGCTGCGCCGTGTGAAAACCAGGTTCCGATCAGAGGAGCCCGTTCAGCTCGTAAGCACATTGGTCGTAATTTTCACCTTGCTTGTTTCTCTCCTACTCGCACTCCGCTGGTTCCAATGTATTTGTTAGTGATGATGCTGTCTTTGCACACCCGGCGCATAAACCTTTCTTCCAACGATGCTCAAATTTTCTCGTTGCAGTTCCCGATGCGCATCATGCCGCCATCAACCGACGACTTGAAGCCGAGCTGGAGGACCTGCGCAACACCTTGGCGGTGATGCAGTACAATCAAACGACCCAGCAGCAGATCGAAAAGGAGAGGGATGAGCTGCGTCAAGAGGTTTCGGCGCTTCGGGATGAGATTCAGGCGTTTCGATCCGGAACGCACACAATAGATGGACCTGATGACGTGGACGACCCCCGAATCAACATGGACAGGCTGCCGAAGGTGGACGGGAAAATCCACATTCCCACCAGCTTGTCCGACGACGAGGCGTTCGCGGTGAGTGCTTTGCTTTTAAGAGTGATTTACAGTTCTACCCCGATACTAACCGTCACACCTAACCCTGGCCTGACGTTTGTTTCATCTGTTTTTTGTCTCCCGTTCCCTGAAACAGAAAAACGCGCTCGCCGTGTACGTCGGGATGATTACTGCTGGGCCGGCAAAGTCGATGCAGTTCTACCCCGATTGGCCAGACCTGGTTCCTTTGATGGTGCGGAGGTATGTGCGGCTGGGTGTTTGCAAGGACCTGTATTACTTCGTGGCAGGAGGTGACAAGTCGAAGGAGGACGAGGCAATGGATAAGATTGCCAACAAGCGGCAAACTATGAACAAGACTATGAAGCTTTATGGCTGCGGCGCTGGAGGTGGCGTGGCGAATGAAAGGTGGCACGAGCTGGAGCGGGTCGGCCTGAGGCCGACCGAGTTTAGAGACCCAGTCGTCTGGACGGCTTACTTCAAGGACGGTGAGTCTTTGAGTGTTTGTTAAGCTCCTCTAAACTTTTGTAGCTGCAGTCACTGACGATTGGTTTTTCAACTTCCTTGCAGGAAAATACGGCTCACGATGGCATTGCTCTGCTGAAGGCATACCGTTTGCTAACCTGGCATTTGTGCTGGCTGTCACGAAGGGTTTCTGCAGCAACCAAGCCACAACTTTCCCCCTGAAGATCCCTGGCCTAGGCTATCTCTGCCATGTGGTAAGTGTTTTTCGTATATATATGCTGCAACTTTGTGCTTAAAAGCATCCTGTAATGAACAGTGTTTAACAATACCTTGTGCTTTCTTCCAGGTGGAGTGGCCCATGGCTCACTGGAAGGGCAAGAACTCGCCTTCCCTGGACACAGTCGAGCTCAACAACCGCAACTGTGTGACAGCAAAGACTGCTGTCTGTGCATCCTGGCTGAAGGATTGTCTCGAGAGGAACCCTGCGCTGTTCAAGGCAGATGAGCCGCAGGGTTTTGAGATGTGTGAGGGTTTCAAGGATTTATCAAGGAGTTTAAAGTGAGGATTTTAATTGAGGGCTGGGAATCCTATTTCTTTCCTCGTGGGATTCCTCAGGGAGGGGAGTGGCCTGAGGCTTATTAACCTGCTAATTTTGTAACTGCTTTTTTATTAATGGTTTGATTTCTGTTTCAATTTCCTGAAGTAGCTAATAGTAGCATCAATAACAAATGTAGCATTAATTAATTATAAATGTGAATCGTAGCATTATAATAATCATATTTATCGGTAATAGAAACAGTACCTCCGCTATAGACACATAATGACACAATAAAACATGTTTCACAATTCAAGGTCCGAGCAATTCGAAATCTAGAACACTGTCGGTGTATTCAGCTGTTACCACGATCGGTTACCTCGTTACCGCGCAGCACGAAGTTCGTCGGGTAACAGTAACCAGTCTCTGGACGAAAATTTCAGGCCCATCCCCCACGACCGAGAAGCAGACGGTAAACTGCCACGCAAGCCCAGTCTCCGGAGGAACATGGGTCAACTCCGGGGGGCTCGGGAAATGGTCAAACACCGAGCACTCCCGAAGCCCCCTTCTTCCGTGATTGCGGGATACTGGCAAACTTGGCGGTGTTGGCGAGAACCTGGCCGATAACTACGCGTCACTGTAGCAGAAAAAGCGGGCGTAACCTCTGGTTCACGCGGTTCGCGGAAAACGGGAAATTAAGCCCATACGCCACTCCATTTACGGGGCACTAGGGAAACGGCCAATTTCAGCTAGTTACTCGCGTATAATTTCCCAAAAACTGCCATAATTTGTCCCTACATTTTTCTGATGTTGCGGCCTGAAGCTGCAATGTTCACAGCACATGCTGTGGCTGCCTCGGCCGGCTTTTCCTGAGGCAAACGCAGGGAGATGTCCGACCTGCCAGCCGAGTATGATGATGGGCAAGCTTCGCTCCGAGGGGCATCAGACCGAGCCTTCGGCAAGACGCCTGACCATCATTCAAAGAGTCATCGTGCGATCACGTCGTCTGTAACGCGCAGAAGCCATGGCTCGTCTCTCTCTTGCGCTGCTGTTGCTTCTGCTGCTGGCAGGTAAGGTTATCCCCATCCGATGACAGATCTGCAAAAAGTGTGGCTCCGAATTGCAGCCGGGATCTGAAGTATCCCCAGCGCATCTTTCTAGACTCTCCAAAACGTCGAAAACGCGTCGTTTGCTGACAGCAATCTGGAAATTGTTTCGATCTGAACAGTCCTGCTCGATCTTAACTCTAACTAGTACCAGTACTAGCAGGGTTGCTCGGCATCAAGTCATGCGGAACCTTGAGGAAATAATGACGCGTCATTTGCTGCCCTTGAGACGACTTCAATGGTCTTATTCTACCAACCTGCTGGCATGGGCTTGGGGGTTTTTCTAGTACCTGTATCCCTTGGGGGGAAGTTGCGCTCTTGCTGCTATGCGGTGCCTGCTCTACCAGTTGAAGAACACAGCGTGGTAGAGCAGCACGGTATTTTTGAGAATTCTCGAAATAACCCTGCGGCCCTGCTTGCGTTCTTCTATGTCGTGTCGTGCTGTGCCGTGCATTGAGCTGCTGTTGCGTTGCGTTCTGCGTTCATCTCTCCACTCTGCAGGCTCTTCGTTCGACCGTCCCACCACAACCCGCCCTGCACTGGCCGTAAGTGTGCTGCCGCCGCGTATCCCTCCCCATTCCCGTTTCGCGTCCCTTTTGATTGCTCTTCCCCTGTCGCATTGCCTCATGGTCTCTTCACAGCATTACATGCAACTACATTCCTCTGCATCATGCAATTGCATCCACATGGCAGCATGCCACCACAGCAGTGATGGGGTGGCAGCAAGGAAGGGTTGGACTGAAGGGTTACGACATCTCAATGCCACCCTTTCTACTTCCCCTCGTTCCATGCAGCATGCCGCAACGATAGTGGTTGGCGGCAAGAAGGGCTGGCCTGGCATGAAGTCGTGGACTAAACCAACTATCGGATCCTTTGATGTATTAGGTGTTACAATGTTAGTATCGTGTTACAGTGTGTCATGGATGCGTTACATTGTGTTACGGATGCGTTACAGTATGTTACGGATGCCTTATATTGTGTCACAAATGCGTTACAGTGTGTTAAGGACAAGGTTCAAAAATACGACCGAATTTTTGAAAATTTACCGTAAAATACGGTATCGTATTTTACGGTCGTATTGAACGGTAAAATACGGTCAGACCTTGCATTTTTAGGTTCGTTCAAAAATACGGTCGTTTTTTACGGCCGAAATTTTTAAATGAGATTTTTCAAAAGTGTGTAACACTTTCTAAAAATGCATATTTTGAAAGCGCAGCTGACTGTCACGAAGCAAAGCAACGGCGAATTACAATTCGCCGAGTACATAACGAGGGTTGGAGGCCATTCGGCCTCCACCCACGACTTCATTTCGGAACTTAGCAGTTCCACTCATTCTCGTCCAACCACCTCGAAAGTTTCCTCTGTCACTAGAACTACTTACTACGACTCACCTACAAGCGATCGATTTTCATGAAGGGCAACACTATCACGCGTGCGACTGTACTTAGCGGGCGCTCAACTGAGAGCGAAGTGCGCCGGACGAAACGCCAACAGGCGCGCCAAAGACGAAATCGCCAATGGCACGCACTAGTGACGAAATTGCCACTGGCGCCAGTGGCTCGCGCTAGGGACGAAATCGCCACTTGCGCCAGTGGCAGGCGATTGGGACGAAATCGCCACTAGCGCAAGTGGCGCGCGCCAGGGACGAAATCGCCACACGCGCGCATGTTGCGAAATTGCCACGTGCGCCAGTGGCGAAATCGCCACTAGCGCGCCATGGACGAAATGGCCGCCGGCGCGGCAGTGACGAAATTGCCACTGCAGCACCTCAGGCGTTTGAATGGGCGTCATTTGTTGCCTAAGTGCTGCAAGTCATTTTCTTTCAATTTTATTTTCGTTTTGTCCTCTTCGTTTATTTTCTATTAATCTATAAGCTCCTCTTATCCCTTGGTGGCAGATAATCAGGGCCAACACTACAGTGGTGGAAAGACTTTTATAAAAGGCTCTACTAGTCGCGCGGGGAAATTACATGGACTACAGGATCAAACTGCACGCGCACCCAAGGACGCCTCCCAATAAAAAGAGCGGACAGAGGGTCTCCCTGTGTGGCCTGAGAGCCGTCCCCCAGGGGGGGAAGGGGACCGAGGGTCCTCGTGTAGCCTGAGAGCCATCCCCGAGGGGGGGAAGGGGATCGAGGGTCCCCGTGTGGCCTGAGAGCCGTCCCCCAGGGGGGGAAGGGGACCGAGGGTCCCCGTGTAGCCTGAGAGCCGTCCCCGAGGGGGGGAAGGGGACCGAGGGTCCCCGTGTGGCCTGAGAGCCGTCCCCCAGGGGGGGAAGGGGACCGAGGGTCCCCGTGTGGCCTGAGAGCCGTCCCCTAGGGGGGGAAGGGGACCGAGGGTCCCCGTGTGGCCTGAGAGCCGTCCCCCAGGGGGGGAAGGGGACCGAGGGTCCCCGTGTGGCCTGAGAGCCGTCCCTCAGGGGGGGGAGGGGACCGAGGGTCCCCGTGTGGCCTGAGAGCCGTCCCCCAGGGGGGGAAGGGGACCGAGGGTCCCCGTGTGGCCTGAGAGCCGTCCCCCAGGGGGGGAAGGGGACCGAGGGTCCCCGTGTGGCCTGAGAGCCGTCCCGCAGGGGGGGAAGGGGACCGAGGGTCCCCGTGTGGCCTGAGAGCCGTCCCCCAGGGGGGAAAAGGGGACCGAGGGCCCCCGTGTGGCCTGAGAGCCGTCCCTCAGGGGGGGGAAGGGGACCGAGGGTCCCCGTGTGGCCTGAGAGCCGTCCCCCAGGGGGGGAAGGGGACCGAGGGTCCCCGTGTGGCCTGAGAGCCGCCCCCTAGGGGGGGGAAGGGGACCAAGGGTCCCCGTGTGGCCTGAGAGCCGCCCCCCAGGGGGGGAAGGGGACCGAGGGTCCCCGTGTGGCCTGAGAGCCGTCCCCCAGGGGGGGAAGGGGACCAAGGGTCCCCATGTTGGGCTTGCCGTAAGATGGGCTGAATTTCCAACAATGTGTGTGTTAGTATGGATCATCCTTGGCTATTGATGTAAGCGTATATGATAAGATTTCAAAAAAAAAAAAAAAAGGGGGGGGAGGGGGGGGGCTCAAACATTTTTTGACAAACAAAGGTCGGTTGGTGCCCCATCAATTTCCAGGGAAGCAATTGTTTGGAGTGATCTGGTTACAAATGGTTGGTAGAGTGCAACTCAAGATGGATTTTGAATCTGACTTAACTACGGTTGTTCACACACACTCCTACATCGCATTCAATGTTCTCTCCAAATAAGGGCAATGAGAAAGGGATTGGTTTCCATCATGCTCATCCCACACTCTTAGATCGCACCCGAGATGGAAATAAAAGCACGGGAGTTGCGACTAGCATGCTACCACAAGTTGTGTCTCGTTAAGAACTTGAATGGGCTTTAGGTGTTGGGAGTTAGGCCCTCAAATTCACTTTTAGGCACGTAAGGGTATCAGGGT